CTGCAGCACAGCACCCACTTCAGTGCATGGAGAGAAAGGGCAGGGCTGGGGAATCAGTCAACAGCAGACACTTTTAGCGCATGAGGCATTCCTTTCCCAAGGGAGTCCAAGGGCAGCAATCTCATGATAAGCTCGAGTTTTTCCAGAGTGAGAGACACTAAGTTTCGAGCCTCTTTTTTTTTTTTCCTAATGTGCACAAGTTTGGAATCCTCTGTGGCGACGCTACTTTTCAAGTGTTCTACTCAACTCTGTCACATGACACTGGGGCCTAACAGTTGCATAACCCCACACACCATGCTCTGAAGTGTTTGTTGCCATCAGGCACCGACAGGAGGGGGCTCAGAAAATTACAAGTGGACAGAATCCCAGGGGCTTTCAAGCCATCTGGACCATACTTCACTGAGAAGTGAACTGAGATCCAAACAGGAAAAGACACAGGCCTGAGCCTGGGGCCGAGCAGGCCAGATACCACTATCGGTGTTTCCATGATCTACCAGAAAGAAAGGGGATGGTTTACATGTGCAGCTGCTGGAACCACAAAGCCACAGCACATCTGTGGCCCCAACTCTCTTCCTCCAACATCCCACGAAGCCTTAGAAACGTGGCCAGGGTGTGAACTCCAGGACCACGTTTGGGCTCTGTCACTGCCTACTTGTGAGACGTTGGACAAGGTGCCCTGCCTCTCAGAACTTGGATGACAAGGGCACCTGCCTCCCAGGATCACGGCGAAAGCTAAGCGAGCTATGTCTTCCGAGGCCTTAGAGCGGCATGTGCACCTACTAAGCGCCACATCGTACTATGACACAAAAATAAACGCAGGAGTGTGGAATCTATCCAGGCATAGTGTCTAGACACTGAGGCCTCAGGAGCGGCTCTGCTTCTGACGGACATCTGCCCTAGGGGCAGGCTCCTTTCCCTCTCTGGACTCTGATTCTGCTCTGTAAAAGGGGTGGGGGGAGGGACTGGGCACCTGTTGGGTGCCCCTCCTCCAGGCCTGCATACCTTCAGCCTCTCCCAGAGTCCTGATTACAAATCTGGGCCCAGGCCCAGTGAAACTGGAGCTGGAATGTTTTGTTCTGGGATGGAGCGAGCCTCATTCGCCTTTCAGAACTCAGCTGTCTGGTAACTCAGGCAAGGGAGCCCATCTCAGTGAAGGGGTACATTGTGCGTCTGGGACACTAACTCTACCACTCCATCTCCCCTCCTCTTTGGTTTCTCTTTTCTTCTCTGAACTGAGAGAGAGAAAGGAGCCTTTGAAGAAAAGTCACTTTTGAAACCGCAGTAGCTGAGAATGGTAGGTCTCTGGTGCCTGCTCCAGGATCTATGTCTCTCTCCAGATTGCAATCTGACTCCTGGCACCCTGTTCCCTGAGCCGGTAAGCTGGGCAGCAGTCTGAACCTCCCGTTCCCTCCCCCTCCCTCCTGTGGTACCCACAGAGTAGCCTCTTTCCTGCTACCTTCCAGGCTGAGCAGGCTGTCTGGTACCTGGTACAGAGGCCACACCACCTGCTATTTGAATAGGGGATTCTCTGTGGTGTGGGAGCTCTTTGTTGGTTTAGGGGTGAAGCGGGGTCCAAGCTAGAGCCTCTCCACGGTCCTTGGAAACTAAAATCTTGGTTCTGAGAGGCTCCACCCTCCTGGGGCTGACACTGGCTTCTGACCCCTGTCATCACCTGCCCTATTTGCAGCCACAGCCTCAGCTGACCTCATCCCCACACTTCAGCTCAGGATCACGCCAAAGAGCAAAGGGCCATACACAGTAGGCAGCCAGGTGTCTGGAGTGGAGTGGGTGGTTACACTGCTCCTGGGGAATGGTACAGATTCCACTCCCTACAGGGTACATCTGTGGGGCAGGAAACATCCTTATCTTCAGAAAAAGCATATGCTCACAGGAGCTCCCAGGATGCAAGACTCCCACAGGAACCCCTTTCACCTCCTATCTGGTCTAACATCTCCCGGGTTAGCGCCCAAACCATTAAGCCACATGGAATTGCCTCCCTTTGAGAGGCTCCCCAGGGGCCACCTTGCCACCTCGACTCCATTATGCACCCCTTTCCTTTTTCTAGTCATATCTGACTTTCTGCAGAAACCACACTGAGACTCTTCCTCCCAGCAAACCCTGACACAGGGAACCACACTCAACTGGAATTCTTTGCTTTTATTCTTGACTTTGAAAACCTAGGGCGAGATTCCAACCTCAACTGCTCTGTGGAACCTCCCACCAGGAGGGAGCGATCCCCGCTCTGAGCTCCATCTGTTCCTAGGGTGTAATCTATCCTGCCCACCTGGCACACCTTGAGCCAACCAGAGGCAGTATCTGTGCCAGGTTCCAGGATGGCACCCAGCACCAAGACAACTGTGGGCAGTCACATGGCTTGTATTCTCACTCTTGAGATTCCCTCTTGTGATTCTATGGAACAGTGATCTAGAAAATAGTTGGAACAGAAACTCTGGCGTTCCTTTGCTTTGTTTCCATTGCTGTTTCCTCTGAATGGAGGCAGCAGGGGGAGGAAGGCCCTAAGACCACCAAGGCCTCTTGCTGGCCACCTTGAACAGCCCCACCAAGGAAGCAAATTAATGGTTGGAAGCATTGCAAACAGCAAGATGAGGACATACTTGTTAGATGGATGTCTTTCGGGGGACTGGGGACCAGCACTTAAACAAGCAGTCTAGGCTATCCAGGAAGAAGTCTAGTCTGTAGATGAAAACAGTACCTGACACTGAGTCCTGAAAGGGTCCAACCAACTCCATTGTTTTACTGGTGGGACACCACGGCCTGGAGAAGGACAGACCGAAGCCAGTTCAAGGTCACGTGTATCAAAAACAGGGCCTTGGGTGGGAGGTGGGGCATCTAAATCTGGCCTTGTGTGGTCCCTGCTGAGCCTTACTCACTGTACCTCAGCCACAATGGCCTATGTTTGCTTTATGGACCACTGCTAGGTCAGAGCTGAGCAATGTCTGGCTTTAAAAGGGGCATGCAAGTTCCATCTTTAATGCCATTCATATCTGCTTCTGCTTGTGCTGAGACCTGGCATATAGTTATAGGCTGGAGAACCGAGACCTGTCCAGGAGACTGATGGGAAGGTCTCTGGTGGGGCTTGCCAAATAAGACATCACTGAGGCACCCCGACTACACAGGAGAAGTCTTGAGCATTCCTAAATATGCCAACTGTGAAATTTGCTTATGAAACCTAAAACACGTGAGAGGGGCCTTGGTGTTCTCTATTGCGCAATTTATTCCAACCTGTTGTGCAGGGGGTGTGTAATAACAACACAATGGCCCTCTGAGGACTGCTGCAGGGCTAAACCAGGGGGTGGAGCCTTGCAGTGTTAGCCAGGGGTGAACCTTGCAGTGTTAGCCAGGGGTGAACCTTGCAGTGCTAGCCAGGAGGGGGGGCCTTGCAGTGCTGGGGCAAGACTCCCTAGGAATCTGCTTGTGCTGTGAATCAGGGGCCTCATGTGGCGCTGTTTTCCTCAGAGCCAAGACCCACAGGCCCAGGATTCAAGGTTGGGCACTGGAGCGGTGGCCCACAATGTCACCCTTAGTGAACCATTAGCAACCGTTTTGCGTCTGTTCCGAAGGAGCAAAGGTTTCCGTCACAGGACGTACAATGATTTCACCGAGCAGGAGGTTAACACTGCCACCTGGCCTCTGGCTTTCCTTATGCCTCAGAATTAACAGGTGAGCGGGGTGGGGGCTGAAGCTGACTACCATCTGCTCTGCAGCAGAGGTCTGGAAGGTGGGGGGCGGGAACCCTTGGGGTAGCTCCTGGGGCTGCTGTGGTGAATGCTGGTGGAGGGCGCCAACAGCCTAACCTGAGAACTGTTAACACAAACCATTCAGGCATGAGGCTCAGGGTCACCCCATCAGGTCACGAACCACAGTCAGCAGAGGTGCTTGCTAAGGGCAGAGGCTGTGCAGGACGGGTGATGGAAGAAGGCTGTCAGAGATGCTGGCTGCCTCCATCTGACCGCTTAGAGGAGCCAGGGCTGCCGCTGCCATGAGTATCCATCCCCTCCTCCTCCCCAAACACGTATGAGCACAGCAAAGCTCCTTGACCTCTCACCTTCAGTATTTTCATGTAGCATACATTGTATTCACATGTTGTGGTACTATTTAAATATTAATTTTCCATTACAGTGTTTAAATAAACATCACTAGAGATTTTTAACCTTCCCTCCTTAAGAGGAGGAATTTTTCTGTCATACAGAGTATCATGTTGGGCACAGTTATGACATGCTGTTGTCTTCATTTGCTAATAATTGCCTCTGGTGTGAAGAAACACATACAGGGGCCAAGTTAACAATGAGGAGGGCTTGTGATGGGCAATTCTATGAGTCACCTTTCCTGAGCTGTGGGTTGCCAGGCGTTTGGTCGGATGTTATTCTGGTTGTATCTGGGAGGGTGTTTCTGGGAGAGATGAACATTTGTGCCTATGGGCTGCGTTAGGCAGATGGCCTCTGTGATGTGGGATGGTCCATCCCATCTGTCACAGGCCTAAATAGACCTGAGAAGCTGACCCTCCCCTAGGAAGGAGGATTGCCTCCTACCTAACGATCTCAGCTGGACCACAGTTTCTTGTTTTGGACTAACAGCATCAGTTTGTCTAGGTCTTCAGTCAACGAGCATTTAGGTCAGATTGGCATCATCAGCTCTCCTGGACTCCAGCTTGCTAAGTGCCCATCTCAGGGTTTGTCAGTCTCCAAAACCGTATGAGCAAATTGCTTATAAATCTCTCAGTAGGATATACATTTACTCCCTCACACACACCCGTCTTACTGGTTCTGTTTTTCTGGAGAATCATGAGTCAATACAACATTTTAAAAATAACCCTGCCAAGGCAACAGCATCCCAACACACTGAAAAATAAGGAGAAAGACATTGGTGGCTTTGGGACTGGCCCACCTGCCCCTCCCTCAAGTAGCTATCAACTGCCCCTTGACCAAGTTCCCGGGGCACTGCCCCACCCCAAGACCAGTGTCCCCCTTTCTGCTACTCACATCAGGGTCTAGCTCATCCAGCTCACTTTCCAGAGTCCTGAGCTCCTCCTCCGTGAGGGCCCCCAGGATTTCATCTTCATCCAGGTCACGGTATTTCTCCAGCTCTCGTCTGTAGGACATTGTGGAAGGGTGTGTCCTTGTCTTCCGAACTTCTGGGCTAACTGGCAACCTGGCAGAAAGAGGAAAAGCCCTTGAGATAGCCCCCTGTCAGAGTTTCCCTCCAGCAACAGGTGGGATGTGCTTCATAGCGGCTAATTTGAATTCCTCCTCTCTCCACTTCCCAACAAAGGGCAAGCCCCGAAGGTGTGTGGTTTAATGATTTGTGTTTTGTTTCTTTGATATGTGCGTGTGAGACATGCATGACTGCACTGTGTGTGTGCATGTGCACATGTGTCAGAGCATGACCTCAGGTTCCAGTCCTGCGTCCCCCCCACCTGTGAACACCAGGTTAGCGGCCTGCAGGTTTCAGGGTTTCTCCAGCCTCTGCCGTGCTCAGCCTACAAGGGTCCCAAGGGCTTCACTCCGGTCCTCCTGCTTGTGTGGCAAGTGCTCCACCCACGGAATGTCTGCCCAGTGCAATGGAATACATTTTAGTTAGTGCCAGTCACCGGAAGCAAACGGGTGGCTATCAACGGTGCGAGCACTTGACGATGAATTTATTCTTAAGGAGTTCAGTTATTCTCCAGTCAGTCTTCCCTGTGTCCCAGTGGGAAGGGCCAGCAACTGTCAGATTAGTCTTTTAAAGGAGGAGGGTTAAGTGAGCACCTGCAGCGTGCAGGCACCCCACCTACCACATTTTCGTCAATCCTGACAGAAAGCATCCTATCATAACTTAGGTTTTGATATCAAATGCAGAGCCACCCATTAAGCACCACACACGGGTTCTCCAGTCTGACATGCACGTGAGGATTTAGTGATATCTCCTTTCAGAGAGGACACTGGGCTGAGGGAGGTTCAGTGACTCACCTAACCCACAGCACCCAGAAGGGGTAGGTCCCCAATTTGAACTCAGGTCTTCGGGCCCTCTAGCATTTCTCTGGTGGAAGCTTTTTCATGGAATCACTGAATATCATGGTCAAGAGAACCACGGACGGGACCCCTCATTATATTCCCCCGGAAGAAGTGACTTATCCAAGGGAACCGAGTCTGTGCCTGCTTTCTCCTCCTGGAAGCCACCCAACGCCCCTAACATAACTATTCACACCTGTGAACTCATTCTAGCTGGGGCTCGCTCTTAAGTGAGATCATTTTATCAATGAAGAAATTGAAAGATGGCCTTGGGTTTGACTCAGGGTCCCTAAGAGTTGTGGGTGTCCCTTCACCGCAGTGCATAAGCCTCCCTCTAGTCTGAGGGGGGCAGCAAGGCCGTGAGCCCTTCTCTTCCTTAGCCTGACAAAAATAATAACATGACAAGGCTGGCCTATCTGTCGCCTCCCTAAGAAGTTCTGGCAATTCCTCAGGAACCTGACCTCATTGTGGCCCCAGTACCGGGTTCATGCCTCTTTGAGCAATTTCTCCCATGAGCCCCTTGTTCCTTACCCTCAGAGCCCAGCTGATAGCAGGAAGCTTCTCACTAACACCATCCCAGCCTGCTTTTCTACTTGTCTCTGGTACCCCCGAGAAGGTTTTGGACTTTTCTCCTCTTGGAGAACGCAAGCTGCTGCAGATTTCTGTCTCCTATCCCTGAGAGAAGACTATCAATCCACTTAAATCCTGTGATTTGTTAATTAAGGACAATTAAGGAGTTCACTAGCCACCAGAAGAAGCATCCACTTTGGAGAGCAGGGGCATGTTTCATTAGTATAAATCCGCATGCGTGGGCACATCCACAGGGGAAGGCAGAGTGAGTGACAGGCATAAGGACGAGCTTCTCAAACAGAACCTCTGAGAAAGCCTCAGCTTCGGCAGAAGTCTTCCTTTGACCAGATCCCAAGAATGTGAAGTTCAGACCATAAATGCACCCCCCCATTCATTTCCATTTGCTTTTGGGTGACCCACTACAGATGTGACTGTTGAATGCCCTCGCGCGGCAGCCTGGTACTGGAGGCCTTAAGAGATAGGGCCAGCTGGCAGGTTACCCCATTCCAGAGGATGGCCCCACATCCAGGAGTATGTGGACAACACAAGTTGGACTCAATGGGTCATTCAAAAAAGATGCCGTGATGGTAGAGAGGTGGAGATATATCTGGGAGGAGTAGAGAGGTGAATATTATCAAAATACACTGCATGAAATTCTCAAAGAACTCATAAAACTACTATATATCGTTAAGAAGAGGTGAGGCTTAGTTGGAGGTGGTTAGGGCATTGCCAGCGTCACCTTCCGGAGGGACCAATTCTGGTCTTGTGGGATGAGTTATTTACTATCAGAAGAGTCACGATAAAAGAATAAGAATAAGGTTATAAACAAGCCCTTCGCCTTAAGATGCCCATCGCTGGGATAAAACACTGACCAAAAGCAACTTGAGGAGGAAAGGGCTTATTTCACCTCACCACTCTCGGGTCACTCTCCCTCCCGAGGGGAGTCAGGGCAGGAAGCTGGAGGCGGGAACTGAAGCAGAGGCCATGAAAGAGTGCTGCTTATTTTGTTACGCTCCAGTTTGTTCATGCTGTTTTTTTATATATGACCCAGGACCACCTGCCCATAGGTGGCACTGCCCACAGGCGGACTGGTCCCTCCTATATCAATCAATTATCCATCAAAGCAATGCCCCACAGGTTTGCCCACCGCCCAAACTGTTGGAGGCATTTTCTTGGTTGCAGTTCCTCTTCCCAGAACTTGTGTCAAGTTGACAAAAGAAACAGCCAGGACCCCGTCCCCTTGCTTTCTGGGCCATGGTCTTGCCGTGTGATTTCTGCTTCGGGCATTCCCGTCCACCTTGTTTCCACGGACATGTTATGATCCAGCCGAGAGGACTCTCACTGCAGGGGAACAGATGGGGCTGCCTGACTTTGGATTTTCACCTCCAAAACTGTGAGCTAAATAAAGTTCTTTATCTTTAAAGGTACCCAGTCTCAGTTGTTTTGTCTTAGCAATAAAAAGTGGGGGTCAGACAGTCCTCAAAGGCTTTAGAATGCACCAAGTCCCACAAGACGTGGACAATAAGACTTCTCAAAACTTTGAATACACAGCTAGAACACAAAAGAATAGCATGCAGTAGAATCCCCAATTCCTTGTCATGACACGAGGTCTCTAAGACACTTCTCCACAAACCAGAATCTTGTGAAACAAAGGAAAACATTGTCTTAGAGTCACTCCCAGGTCGCACTGGAGAGCCATCACACAAGAAGAGACAACACAGGGACAGAGTCCCTTGGAACAACCTGAGAGCATCCAGACAGTGCTGAAACCCTGGAGTGTCCCATGCTTGTTAGTTTTTGCTAGTTGACTCATTTTCTGGGGGGTTTTCAGTAAGACTTTAGGAGAAGAATCACACACACGTGGGTCCTAGAGGATAGGTGAGCCAGAACCCGAGAACATGGACAGAGGCATCCGCGCGGAAGGCAGCTTGGGCAGAAGTAGCTGGGGAAGAAGCCAGATGAGAGAGGTAGGTGGCAACTCTGGGACCTGCTGAAGGAGAAATATCAGGCCCGGCCACAGGCCACCCCTAGGACGCCACTGGAGGTGATGGCGTCATCCAATTTCAGGGTTCTTCTTGTTGCATTCGGGGAAGTTATACGACGTATCCACCCTGAGTCATTACTGAGTTCAAAATCTCTACTTCATAGGGTTTTTTAAGCCCTTGAATGTCAAGTGCCTTGTGAATATGACAGAGGTAAGGAGGCATTGTGTTAAATAAGCCAAGAAGAACACAGAATTCTTTGTCAGCCTCAAGCCCCACTCATCTGGTTGGCTCACGGGATGGGTTCTATAAAGAAGGATTCTCCTCTGAGGGTAGGCCCTGGAAGGAAACTGAAGGTGGGGTCAGGCAGAGTCAGAGGGACACAGACTCAGAGCTAACACCGCAGGCTCAGTTTTAAAACACGGCTTGGATGAGATTGCTTTTCATAACGGTAATTGCAAGGCCTCTGTTTCCTAATGGAAGAGTTTTTGGGGATGGAGAGCCCCCCCAACCGACTGGAGAACTAATTTTGATGTTAGGCACCAGGGTAACCATCATTAAATTCTTGAGGCCTCTGTTCAGTCAACTATACAATGACAGAATCCGATCACATGGGTGACTTTGAAACTGTGCCCAGAGATCTCTGAGGAAGTATCTCCAGATGCCTAGAGGAGACCAAGGGCTAAGAGGGCTCACCCTGACCTTCCTTGATGTGTATGCTTAGGGTTGTTGAAGATCTCCCTGAAATAAAGGATCAAATACAAAGCTGAGATTCACTGGACTGCAGAGTACTGCCAGGACTCACCCAATAGGATGCTGCAAGAATGAGTATTGTCAGGCAGCTAAGAGTGCAGTCCAGGGCTGGAGCACAGACCATGCAGGCTCACGGGGTGCCAGGCACTATAATGTATCTGCTGAAGCTGCAGGAGCCCCACTTCTCTTCTTGCCCCCCCACACTATCACCCAACCATAAGGGCCCTCCGAGGAGACCTTTGTTTTAATTGCCTCTGTCCTCATAGCTAAGCCCTGGGCCTGGTACAGAAGCACCATCAGAGGAACAGAGACAGCACCCTTGGGCTCTTGACCTAGCCCCCTTGAAAACTCAGGTAAATGTCCCTTGTACCTCCTGAGAGAGCTGTCTCCCTATGCCCTCCTTCAGGAAAAACCTGAAGCAGCCATGTTGATACCATCTGATCCTTCTCTATTCCCAACTGAGCCCAGAGTTCGGAGCTGGATGGGCAAGGGCCTATGGTGTGGCTTAGGATAGAGGAGGAGGAAGAGGAGAAGGGGAAGGTGTGGGAGCTCCTATGATGTCCTTCAGCCTCCAGGGACCAAGCACCTGGGTCAGCCCAGTCACTGTTCCTGCCCCTCCAGCTCTGTTAACCCCTCGCCTGACACTCTTCTCTTTTTATTGCTAGATTTTCTTTTTACCCATGATAAATATACATCACATGATATTTTTACTGTTTTTGGAGGATGCTGGGGACGGAACCTAGGGCTCTGTGCAGCTAGGCGCACCTTTTCTTAATGCGCCACAGCCCAGCCATTCGCCATTTTGAAGTGTCCAGTTTTATGGCACTTGGGACGATTCAGTACCTTCTCATGTAGC